CAAAAAATTGCCATGCATCGAGCTGTTATACAATTATACATCGTAACATAGCATTTCTTTTTTCATAAGCTTACATTCTACTCACTTCACAAATAGGGATCAAAACACAATACATGTATATTTACAACTACTGTAATTCCATATCTGCATGGAACTACTCCAAACAACAATGATCTTTAAGGTGACTGAATAATCATAATTCATTTTAAATTTATTATGTAATTTATATGAAATGAACGAACAGTGAATATGCACTTGTATTATTCGTACTTAAAGGGCAGAGGTTGTTGCACCACACACATACAAGATATGGATCCCATACAAACATATGTATAGTGCACACATCCACAGAAATAAATTCTAGTGTTGCGTAGATCAGAGTGTATAAGAAGAGAGAAGGAACCAAGGTTTATAGAGGTAAATTATGACCACTGCATATTTCACCAGGACCACTGCGTCCAATTTGCCCAGATCAAAACTCAAATGCGTACTTGTCACCATATTGAATTGTTAGTAGAGTTTGGTTTGTGTGAAAATTATTGTGTTTATCATCACTGCTTTTCAACATAATGTTATTTACCGACACTTCATTATAATTATTTATAAAATTTCACTTTAATACAAATTACAATTGCAACTCCCAAGAAAATTACATGACATAACATTTTGTAATTTACCCCAAATTTCACTTGCCAGTAATCTTGAAAAATTACCCGAGCTTATGTTTTAATTGATATATCCGGTATCAATAAATGATCTTATTCACAATTCTCATTTACCGGTAATAGTATTTCTCAATAACATTTTTTATAAAACATCTGTCACCATAATGCCATAAGTTACAGCATGCATACTGTGATTTTGTGGTATTTTACAGGGTATTTTCATCATACCATATTAGGAGATGCGAATTCCAAATATGGAATGATTACATGCATAAACGTTCTCTAATAATAAAAACAAACATGACTCCCCCAGGGTTTGACCAGACTCCACACAAAGAAGTTCGCTGATTCTGTTCTAAACTTTTTGGATTTCGGCATTCCCATGATGTATCCTTGGAAAGGGAAGATGTATAATAATAAGGTTATTACGAGGATACCTCAAAGTATGCACTCAGACAGTACGCCGTTGCATTGACCTTTGCTGCGCTTGGTCGATACTCTCGCTGTACTGCCTTTGTGCATACTTTGAGGCATCCTTGTATTAACCTCATAATATTATATTTGTATGTTTTCATGTCTATTGTATGTGCTCTATTAGAAATACATCTCTAATATAGAAGCACATGTCAATGAAAAATTGTGAATATAACTTATTTTGACCATAGACAAACTCGGTCTTTTACATACATGTAAGTGCATGCGCTACTACCGGTAATAGAGCAAAAAGAGTATACAATTGTCTCATGTAATACAAGATGCGAGTTCTGCCAGTTTGTTGGTTTGTTCATTTCCTAACCAATTACTCGTAACAGACATGGATATCATCATTTGTAAATTGATCACCAACAAATTATATACTTACCTAATATCAAACTTTCTATCACCATTGAGGAGTAGAGGTTTTTCTAGATATTTCTGAATGACATGGCTCTGTTTCTGTTCATCGATATAATCAATCAATTGTTGTGGATTATCTGATATTAATATTCCTTCACCTTGAGAAGAAATAAAAAGGTGATTTGTAAAGTAATGTGAGCATGTGGTAATAATGGTCTGCACTGACAACAGGATTTATAATACTACAAATTTGTAGCCACTGACATACAGTAATCTTGGTAACAAAATGCATATGGTAAACATCAACTACAAAAGTTGAGAAATTACAGATAAACAAATATATTTTATGAAACATGTTATTGACCAGGATCTCCTACTACTGAAGGTATATAGGTAAAATAAACTAAACTTACATAACAGCAAAGTATTCTCTGAGATTGTACAGTTGATAAAGGTATCACCCAACCCAATGAGCAATATCAGATGGAAAATGTTCTGTGGGTTGGGTTTTCAATTTTTTTAAGATATTTCACTTGATTTACAGTTGTAATCACAAATATTTCTATAAATCTTCAGTCTGCTATTATTGTCAAATAATGCTTAGTCCTAGTATTATGTAACAATACTGTGAAATGATCACTGGGTTTAAATTTCACTGATTTAGCATTTCGGGCATATTCAGTGGGTTTTAAATTCATGGTTTTATCATTTAGATAATGGTTCCATGCTCAATTTTACATATTGACTGGGTTTTAATTTAGCACATTTTCCAGTCAGTGAAATAAACAAAATTAAAACCCAGTGAATAATTAACCCTTTTACAGTAGTTTAATACTGTGTGTCAAGCTTTTAATTCGTAGAGTTGAAAATTGATCAAAGTTTTTATTTATTTTGTATAGAAGAGTCTTAGCGGAGGAGAGTAAACTCTCATTCTGATAAGTAAATGCCTCAAATAATCATTAAATACCAAGTTCCATTCTCACAGCAATATCAGATGACCTAATTCAAATCCTGTTATTACAGGATTTTAAGTGCAAAATTTCATGCTTGGTTTATTCTACATTGTATTTCTCAAATGCCAACCAAATTTCAGATGAATATGAAAGAATTGGTAAAATATAAAAATCAAAGACTATTGAAGAAATTTTGGTTAAATAAAAAATGCTTTACTTGATTTCCCTAAAGGATTTTTTTTACCTAACTTGAAGGATCCATTATTAGAAAATATTGACCCCTAAGTATGGATCAAGTGTGTATCCATTAGGCTCATACAAACCCCTTAAAGTTATAAGACACAGTGTCCATATATTTACTATATATCCATATTAATTCCAGTATGTCACATGTCTGAAATGGCAATCAAAGCAAGTGAATTCAGATACTTACATTGTTCTTAAAAACAAAATAGACTGAAAATGAGATTCTGTACTGACTTCTTGTTAATTTACAGTTACTGCATTTGCATTGTTATATGATTTTATGGTATAATCATAGAGTTAAAACAGGTATTACAATCTCCCTGAATACTGTACTAAGAAATCAAGTTTTAATATTATAAGTAATTTTTGGCCATCCCTTAGTCTGGACAGGGCGTCCTTTAGTCTGGACTAACAGTAGGTCCCTCTCATATGTGGACACAATGTGGTCAAGTTGATATGCATGTCTTCTGTGTGAGTGTAGGCTGAACACAACTATTATGTAGTTGCACGACTGCAGTAAAGCAATAGAACCTTTCAAGTATGTAGCGCCCTCTAGTGATGATTACCTGCTCTGATGTAGACAGGCAAAAACAATGACTCCATACAATACTATTGGAAGAAAATTTGGCACTATTCAAAGCATCCTTGAATCAATTGTGTTTCTCAGAGTGACCAACAAATTTGAGAAACCCTAGCACCTGACTGAAAATATTTAACAAGAATAAGACTTAGATCGTTCAAAATACTGTTTTTAAAGGATTTGAAATGAGGAATTACAACTACACAGTAGACCTTAGCACAGAATTCTTATAAATCTACATCATATCTATCCTTTTTCATCATTATTATTATTATTATTATTATTATTATTATTAAAAGATGAACATCAAGTTCATGACCCACCTTTAGCACCAGACGTAGATTTAGCGATCCATACATCTCCTTGTTTATTCTCTTTCATTTTGTGATAGCATTTCATAAACGCTTCTCTTTCATCTGTCTTGTTTTGCATACTTCGCATCTTAACTGCTTTTAGGCTATTGCCAGACTCCATCGGTACATCAGCTATCTTAGGGTAGAGATAATACGTTGGTGGAATAATCTGAAATGGGTCTTTATTGCAGTTTGAACAGTATTCTTGCAGTGTTTTGACAAGTGCTGTCTTTCGACACAGTCTTCCAGAACCGCGGTAATAATTGACAAGTGGATTCATGCCTTGTCCATGCCCTTTAAAAGAGACAGTGATAGGAGACTACGAGTGAATTACAGAAAATATCTGTGGTTACATGCATGCAATATTTTTCATCATAACATATTGACATTGAATTCATAAAAGTGCTTGAAAGATTAGTAACCACAAATTATTATTAAACTTGCAAATCATAAAATGTTTCCCTTAATTCAAATAAATTTTTTTTTTCAATTCTCAAATTTCAAGTTGTCGCATAGACAAATACATAAATTTTGAAATATGCTAATCAGTGCAGCAAACACATTCTCTTCATCTTCACAGACAGACAAATAAATAGATGGGTCATAAAAA